ATACCTGCTGCTTTAGTATCGTACATATCATAGAATCACTGAATCATTGCAGAAGGCACATTCACCCCTCTCTCTTCCTTCTTCACTTTGTCACTTTGCTACGAGTTTTTTCTTGAATTTTATTGTGTTTCTTTCCTTCTTTATCACAGGGCTGGCACTAGAAGCTTTCTTTGGGTCCATGGTGGCTTATTTAGCAGTTAAAATAGCACTAAAAACAATGGAATAATACAAAATGTATCATGTGTGTGCATGGAACCGTCTGCCCTGGCTTGTAAACAATGGCACACTGCTTGTACATAGTGGCCAGGCGGCCGTGGGCAGCCCTGGCTGTGTGGGCGCGTTTGGGACGAATGTTCTTAACAGAGTTTTTCATCGTTGGCCAAGCCAATATTTTTATGCAAAAACGCATCAGTATCCGATTTTATCGCTATCCGATGGCATTGTTACCCGAGGGTCCACTGTATTTTGTTCATTCTCACAACCTTCACAATCCTTCCACATCTAGGATGGTAACTGATGTTAGTAAGGCTTCTTTGTTTAATTTTTTCTCCATTTATTACACTATGTATTTGCTATTGGCTTCCCTTAATTTACTTCTGTTCATTGTGCGTTTTTACTTGTCCCACCCTCCCTTGAAGTTCCAATGATTCATGTTTGCTCGTGCCCTCTTCCATGTGTGAAAGATCACTTGCCTGTTGTAACTTCATTCTCGCTCTTCTTAATCACTTTCATTCTCATGATAGTACAGTGTACGCATTGGCTATGTGACAGTTTTCCTAACAAAATCATCCAAGGTCATTTATTTACTATACTCAGTGTTTTCACAGGCAGAAATTAATGCACATTGCATTGTCTTTTATAGATTTTGGCTCTTACATTGCATTACAGGCTATTCAGAAATTAGACTCCTCTTATTCAGTCGTCCTTCACATTCAAGTATGGTTATGCTGCTGGGTCCCTAGACATGTCAATGTTCAGGGTAATGAACATGCAAACTTGGTTGCTTGGTCAGATGTTCATAACCTCCAAATTTCTTGGACTGTTTTGTAGTTCTCCATTCAGCTCTGTGACTGCTGGCAACGTTAGTCAGCGTTGGTTCACAATCATTTTTCTGTCAAACCTAGTTTGGGTTTCTGGTCATCTTCCCACTGCTGTCGTGTTTGGGAAATTGCACTCTCCCATCTCTGTATAAGTCCCACAACTTGCTCATGGACACCTCATGGAAAAATACTCAGCATCATTCTATGAGGACTGTCGGGTTGTCCAGCCCAACAGCAAGAATGCAGAATTCACCTCCGTCATGTCTGCTGCCCCAGCACACTATCTCTAACCTCCTTGCTGAAAGTTTCACTTTTAATACAGACTGACTTCTTAACAGAAACTAACTTATTGCACCAACTGTGATTTTTAATATTCCTCTTGCAGTGAAAAGGTGGATAGTGAGGCTCAGGTTAGAGTATGTAGGAGAGAGAGCAGGAGATTATTTCCCAGTAAAAGTAGGCCTTAGACAGTAATATGTGATGTCACCATGGTTGTTCAATATATTTATAGATGAGGTTGTAAGAAAGTGAATGCTCAGGTGTTGGCAAGAGGTGTGGGGTTAAAAGATAAAGAATCTAACACAAAGTGGGAGTTGTCACAGTTGCTCTTGCTGATGACACTGCTTTTGGGAGATTCTGAAGGGAAGTTGTAGAGGGTGGTGGATGAGTTTGGTAGGGTATGTAAAAAGGAAATTACAAGTAAATATAGGAAAGAGTAAGGTGATGATAAAAAATTTAGGTAACTAAGGATTGGATATCAGATTGGAGGAGGTGAATGTGTTCAGATATATGGGGGTGTAGACATGTCAGCAGATGGGTCTATGAAAGACAAGGTGAATCATAAACAGAATTGATGAGGGGAAGGTGTTTGGTGCACTGAGGAGTCTTTGGAGACAAAGAACATTATCTGTGGAAGCAAAGAGGGGAATGTATAAGAGCATAGTTATACCAGTGTTCTTATATGGGTGTGAAGCATGGGTGGTGAACGTTGCAACAAGAAGAAAGCTGGAGGCAGTGGAGATGTTGGGCTGAGGGCAATGTGTGGTGTGAATATAATCCAGAGAATCTGTAGTTTGGATATTGGGAGGAGGTGCGGGGTTACTAAAAGCATTATCCAGAGGGCTGAGGAGAGGTTTTGAGGTGGTTCGGACATTTAGAGAGGATGGAACAAAATAGAATGACCTGGAGAGTGTATAAATCTGAAGTAGAAGGAAGGTAGGGTAGGAGTTGGCTTAGAAAAGGTTGGAGGGAGAGGGTAAAGGTGGTTTTGTGTGCGAGGGGCTTGGACTTCCAGCAAGTATGCATGAACATGTTAGATGGTAGTGGAGACGAATGGTTTTTAGGACTTGACATGCTGTTGGAGTGTGAGCAGGGTAACATTCGTAAAGAGATTCAGAGAAACTGGCAGGCCGGACTTGAGTCCTGGAGGTGGGAAGTACAGTGCCTGCACTCTAAAGGATGGGTGTTAATGTTGCAGCTTTATAACTGCCTCGGTGGGAAATGGCTAATGTGTTAAAAGAAATAAAATTTTCTAAAAACTACATTAACATATACAGTGGACCCTTGCCTAACGATGGCATCACATAACGTTAAATCCGCCTAGCGATACATTTTAACGCAAAAGCTTTGCCTCGGTTAGCGCTAAAAAACTCGCTCAATGCAATTCGTTCGAGATGCGTCCACGTGCGGCCTGAGCCCGCCTCACCTGCTCCGTAGGTGCCAGTGTTTACAAACCAGCCACCGCAGTCGCTTCCAAGCATACAATCGGAACATTTCATATTATCACAGCCTTTTTAGTGATTGCACCTGCAAAATAATTCGCCATGGGCCCCAAGAAAGCTTCTAGTGCCAACCCTACAGGAAAAAAGGGTGAGAATTACTATGGATATGAAGAAAGAGATCATTGCTAAGTATGAAAGTGGAGTGCGTGTCTCCGAGCTGGCCAGGTTGTACACAAAACCCCAATTAACCATCGCTACTATTGTGGCCAAGAAAACGGCAATCAAGGAAGCTGTTCTTGCCAAAGGTGCAACTTTGTTTTCGAAACAGAGATCATAAGTGATAGATGATGTTGAGAGACTGTTATTGGTGTGGATAAACGAAAAACAGATAGCAGGAGATAGCATCTCTCAAGCGATCATATGTGAAAAGGCTAGGAAGTTGCATGAGGATTTAATTAGAAAATTGCCTGCAACTAGTGATGATGTGAGTGAATTTAAGGCCAGCAAAGGTTGGTTTGAGATTTCAGAATCGTAGTTGCATACATAGTGTGATAAGGCATGGTGAGGCTGCCAGTTCAGGCCACAAAGCGGTTAAAAAAAAATGTGCAGGAATTCAAGGAGTACATAGACAGTGAAGGACTGGAACCTGAACAAGTGTTTAATGGTGACGAAACAGGCCTGTTTTGGAAGAAAATGCCAAGCAGGACCTACATTACTCAGGAGGAAAAGGCACTCCCAGGACAAGCCTATGAAAGACAAGCTTACTCTTTTGATCTGTGCTAATGCTAGTCCTGATTGCAAAGTGAAGCCTTTATTGGTGCATCACTCTGAAACTCCCGGTGTGTTCAGGAAAAACAACGTCCTCAAGGCTAATTTGTGTGTGCTGTGGAGGGCAAACAGTAAGGCATGGGACACTAGGGACTTTTTCTATGACGGGTTACACCATGCATTTGCCTCCACTGTGAAAAATTACCTCCTGGAAAATAAATTGGACCTTAAGTGCCTCCTGGCATTAGACAATGCTCCTGGTCATCCTTCAGATGTGGCAGAGCGACTTTCTGCGGAAATGAGCTTCATTAAGGTCGAGTTTTTGCCTCCTAATACCACTCCTCTCCTGCAGCCCATGGACCAGCAGGTCATTGCAAACTTCAAAAAACTCAACACAAAAGTTCTGTTTGAAAGGTGCTTTGTAGTGACCACAGAAACTCGATTGACTCTAAGAGTTTTGGAGAGATCACTTTAGCATCCTCAATTGTGTAAACATTATAGGTAAGGCTTGGGAGGAAGTGACTAAGAGGACCTTGAACTCTGCTTGGAAGAAACTGTGGCCAGAATGTGTAGACAAAAGGGATTTTGAAGGGTTGGAGGCTAACCCTGGGAATCCTATGCCAGTTGAGGAATCCATTGTGGCATTGGGGATGTCCTTGGGGTTGGAGGTTAGTGGGGAGGATGTGGAAGAGTTGGTGGAGGAGGACAATGATGAACTAACCACTGATGAGCTGCTAGATCATCTTCAACAGCAAGAGGCCAGACCTGAGGAAACTGCTCCGTATGAGGGGATAGAGAAATTGAAGAAGCTGCCTACTTCAGATGAAGGAAATGTGTGCAATGTGGCTTAAAGTGCAAACCTTTTTTGATGAAAATCACCCTTACACAGCTATTGCAAGCCGTGCCGGTGACTATTACACTCACAATGTTGTGAAACACTTTAGGAATGTCATAAAGGAACGGGAGGTACAGGCCTCTATGGACAGATATGTTGTGTGACAGAGGTCCAGTGACTCTGAAGCTGGTCCTAGTAGCATTAAAAGAAGGGAAGTAACCCCGGAAAAGGACTTGCCACCTCAAGTCCTAATGGAAGGGGATTCCCCTTCTAAACACTAACACCATCCAGTCTCCCCTCCTCCCATCCCATCAATCATCACCAGATCTTCAATAAAGGTAAGTGTCATGTAACTGTGCATGTCTTCAGTTTGTGTGTATTAAAATTAATATTTCATGTAAAATTTTTTTTTTTTCATACTTGGGGTGTTAGGAACGGATTAATTTGATTTCCATTATTTCTTATGGGGAAAATTAATTCAGCTAACGATAATTTCGCCTAATGTTGAGCTCTCAGGAACAGATTAATATCGTTAGGCGAGGGTCCACTGTATTTTTAAGAGGTATAAAATAAGTTGACTAACTATGGAAGTTGATAAATGAGTGCTACTTATATCTTTTTTTTTTTTATCCCCAGGCCCTGCTAAATCTTCATGGAAAGGTATCTGAAACGAATGATCCCCATGTTCTCCATTTCTTGGATGATAATTTCATAAATGAGCATGTTGAAACAATAAAGAAACTTGGGGACATGGTGACACAGCTCCAACGTGCAGGAGACGGCCATCTTGGTTTGCATATATTTGATAAAGATTTACTATAGTTTGGAAATGATAGAAAAATGTGTTGGGCTTTTGGCTAACGTTTGGTCTTGACAACTGTGGTATGTCTTTAGTAATATTAATCATGTTGAGCTACTGTATCTTTTTGTCATATATTCCTTTTTTTGTTGTAGAATTTCTTAATGTGTTATGTTTTAAGCTTCTTGTGTAGCACATTATCTTATCACTTAAAAGCTAGAATAGGGAAGTAACGATTCATATACTGACACTTAAATTACTGTGTAGAATTGTGGATAGTTAATTTGTAAATTTGTAATTTAGCATTTTTTAATGAAATTATATTTTACTGTAGCAATATGTAATATCTTTATTACTGACTTCTGTCACTGATGTGGTTTGTGTAAATTGATTTTTCCTTGCAAGCTCAAATGTTAATTGTACTTAATACTCAGACACTTAAATCTTATAGTAATGATTGTACTTTTGACTATAGCATCTTCTATGCACATTTATAATAAACTACCTTTTCAGAAAGGATGGGATTCAAACCCATGGCAAGCCAGTCCTAAAACTGGACTATGCCACCGTGGGTTAGAATCCTGATGTCTGAAAGTTGTTGCAAAATATCAAAACAATTGTGAGTTTATAATAAAGCAAAAGCTGAACTGATGGTTTATATAACTTTAATCAATCTTTAACAATTTGTTATGTTGGAAAATTAGAATTATGGTGATAATTTCCTAAGAGTAGACTATTAAGAGAAATGTGAAGTATTAGTCTTCACTGATGCTGTGGGTCAGTCTGAGAGTAGGGAGGGAGTGGAGGGGGGGGAGAAGGGGGAGAAACTTTCCGCACCTGAATTGATTGATCAATCAATATTTATTACCACGTGATAAATTGTTTGTATGAAGTTTGATGACATTACATTACTGACATGGAAAGCCCCTTTAGTTATTAGTTATGCAGAGGTTTTCAGTTAAGCTTAAAACTAACTTGACCTTTGTGGGTTTAGTGCTTAGTTTTAATTGTAATACGTAATAATAATTTAATTAACTCTAGACAGACTGTAGAATTTTAAATACGTATAAGTATGCAACACGTAAGTGGTATTCACAAAATAGATTAAAAGATTATTTATCAACACTGCTGCCATTTCCCGCTGAGACAGGGTGACACAAAAAAGAAGAAACACTTTCATCATCACTGTCCTGCCAGCGCATGCCAGTATTACAGTTCAAAAACTACAGCACATTAAATGTACATGTATATGAAGCTGTTAAAATCATAGCAAGGTGTATGGTAATAAACACTTGTACATGTTGACCATCACTAATCCAGCATCAGTGGGTCAGAATAGTGATTTTGCCTGATAAGTTGTTAGGTTAGAATACACCTAAACCTAACCTAACAGTTAGGTGGGAGGTAGATAGTGAAAACTTTGTTCTTTACCAGGAGTTCTGCTTTCGGACGTGGGGAACAGTTGTCTAAAATAAGCATTATCTTCCAGTTGTGGTCCAGGCCAGTGGAGTCAGTGAGCTCTTGCTTTGGTAACAAAATAGTTTTAAACTAATCCAATGTAATGTCAGTTTTTATCTATCCTTTTTTGGTTGGCACAGTAAATCACTGGAAACCGTGTCATATCGTTGAAAACCCTGGTACGTAAACTTTTACCAATGACCAGCAACTTGCACCTGTGTGTTCTTGTGGCATTAGAGCAACCCAGCACAGTGACATGATCTTTTGATACTTTATAACCTGTTGGTGATTCTGCATCCTCAGTTGCCTGTGTTTGTAAGTGATGCCAACAATGTTTATACACCAAGTAGTGCCATCAAACAGTAGCGGCAGGTTGGTGCGGCGACCCGGGAAATTTGAAATTACACTAGCCAAAATTAGCGATGGAACCAGATTAGTGATTGCCGGTTCAGTGATGCCCTGTATTACATTAAAATTATTCAGTTAATTCAAAATAAAATTTCTCTCAACCCTTTCAGGGTCCAGACTCCTGATCTGAAACATGTCCACAAAGTTCAAGAATTTAAAAAGAAAAAGTTTTCTTATGAAATGTTAGAGATTCTGTTTCTGAAGGTAATAAAACAAAAAATGCGAAATATAATGGAAAATTGGCGCTCAGAAATTGGTAATTTGGCCAATTTCACACAGATTTCACAATACATGTGTTCCATTTCCAAAATATGGTCCAGAATAAACAATGCAGGCATTCCTGGCACTAAAATAACATATTCTCTGTGTATTAGTTATGATGAATTCCATTTTGAGTTTATTCACATATTTTATTCACACCAAAAAATAGATGATTTACTATTATGCAATATTGTAATAAAATAGACCCCGCAAATTCATGGTTCTGAATTCGCAGCTTCAGTAGTTTGCGAATTTTTCCGTAGACCCTAACTAATGATTGTTTGCAGAAATCCTTGCAAATTTGTGGATTTTTTTTTTTTTGTTTTTTTTTTGCTTTTTTCGTGGCAATATATAATTTTTATGCATTTTAGTACTAAATATTAAGAAAAAATATAGTATTACCATATATTTACCATACGTATACCAAAGAAAACGGGGTTGCATGAATTACAGTATACCAAAGAAAATGGGCTTGCATGAATTACAGTACACACGATGGTAACATTGGTATTTTACATCTCTAGCACTGCGAGAGACATAGCAGTACAGTACTGTATACGGGACTACTGTATCTTTACATTTTTTTTTTTTTAACCCTTTCAGGATTGGTGCCGTACTAGTACGCATAAATTCTAGCGCCTTCAAATGTAGCGAGAGAAAGCTGGTGGGCCTACATATGAAAGAATGGGTCTGTGGTCAGTGTGCGCAGTATAGAAAAAATCCTGCAACACACTGTTCATAATGAGGAAAAAAAAGAAAACTCCGACTGTGTTTTTGGTTTAAAACTTTGACTTTGCAGTGTATTTTTGTATGCTATTTATGGTTGTATTCTAGTTTTCCTGGCTCATTTTATGGAATGGAAGACATATTATGGAAATTGAGATGATTTTTATTGGTTTCACAATGAAAAGTACCTTGAAATTGAGCTCAAAGTAGCAGAAATGTTCAATTTTTGCCAAAGTTCAAAAGTAAATAAATCAAGCCATGCATCCAATACACTTCAACTGGTGAGTCTAATATTCTTTCAGAAGTGCACTGATATTATTTATACCACTTCTACACTAATGCAGTAGTCTGCTTAACAGTAAATCTTCTATTTTTTGTGAGAGTAAAAATTCAAGGTGGAAAGCAAAAGAATGTAACAGAGGCCTGAGGACATGACTAATGAACAGAGGAAATGTTAGTTTAGTGCCAGGAATGTATTTCTTGTTTATTCTGGACCCTACTTGGAAATTGACATCCTTTGAAATTTGTGTGAAATTGGCAAAATTGCCAATTTCGGACCACTTTATTGGATAGTTGAAATCGGTAAATGGGTGGTTTCTTGTACTCATTCAATAGAAAAAATGGAGTTCTAGCGAAATACAGTAGTTATTTTTGTCGCCTGGTACATTGGAATTGGCCGAAAATAGGGCTCAAAGTGGGCGAAATCGCTGATGCGTAAAAATCGTCAAGACCGTTAACTTCGCGAGAGCATAATTCCATAAGTTTTCCATCAAATTTCATACTTTTGGTGTCATTATGATCGGGAAAAGATTCTCTATCATTTCATGAGATTTTTTTTTCTTCTTTTTTGAAAAATTTCTAACTCTGAGAACAAGTTTAGGAGAGGGCCTGCCGACCCTGAAAGGGTTAAAGGGTGATGTATGAAGCTGAGTTTGAAGTTAGTAATTAGTGTTTTGGGGGCATATTTAGAGTTTAAACTAAAAACAGGCATTCATAGGCATTTTCTTAACCGCTTCCAGAATTCGCAGTTTTTCCAAATTCGCGGGTGATCTTGGAGTGTAACACTCGTGAATTTGGGGGACTACTGTAATTGTATAAATAATATCGCATTCGTGAAGGTATATTAGACCCACCAGTTGATGTGTATTGGATGCGTGACATGATTTGTTTACTCTTGAACTTCAGAAAAATCAAACATTTCCAATACTTTGAGCTCAATTTCAAGCTTTTCAGTACTAAAACCAGTTGGAATCATCTTTCTGTAATATATCTTTCATATGAAAATCCACCACATAGTTGCTGTTTTAATCCAAAAACATGCACTGCGTGCTTCAGGATTTGTTTTATATGGTGCACACTTGCCACATACATACATTCTCGTGTCTAGGCCCAAATTTACCGCTTACAGCTTCCGAGTGAGCTGAGCTCATGACATAGCACTATGGCACGGACCCTGGCTTCAAAGCTGTTGAACTACAGGACTGGCCCTCAAGGGATTAATTATAATTAAATAAAATAAATGAAGTTTCTTTGTAAAGGTTACAATGTGTAATTACAATTTTGATTTGCTAAGTACAAAGATAGCCACTATCATGCTGAAGCATTTCGGGCAAACTAATCCTAATATATAGTAACTAATTAAAACTAGGCAAGATAATAGTACAAAGTAATTATACTTAAAACAAAACAAGGGAGAGTGGTTAGCTGTTTTACAATCTTATTTAAACTTAGTACAAACTCTAACAAGTAATGGTGCAGGTGGTAATATTTTATGGAATGGCAGAATTAAAAGCCAGGAGGTCACATGATAAGACTAATTAGCAGATGTTATGGCAGATTTGGTTAATATTGAGAAACAAGATGATTTTATGGATTGACAGAATTAAGAGCCTAGAGGCCACATAATAAAATTAGTTAGCAGATGTTTGGTTGATTGGTTAATATTGTGAGATAAAATGATTTTTTTTTTTTTAGCAAAGTCCTAAATTTATAAGCTGTCAGGGAATCCTTGACCTGTTCCGGTAGTGAGTTCCAGATCTATAGGCCTTTTATGTGCATAGCGTTCTTGCATAGTGAGAGTCTGACTCGAGGGATGTTGAAAAGTGCCTTATGCCTTGTACTGTGCCTGTGCATTCTGTTGTAACTGTCAAGGCATAGTTTTAGGGGAGGGTTTACAGTGGAGTTTAATGTTCTGTATATGTAGTAGGCACAATAATAAGAGTGTATGTCTTGTATATTTAGCAAGTTGAGTCTTTTGAAAAGTAGTGGGGTGTGCTGTCTAGCACAGGAGCTGGTTATCACCCACACAGCAGCTTTTTGTTGGATTAAGGGTCTAAGGTGGTTGGCTGTGGTTGAGCCCCAGGCACAAATACCATAGGTGAGGTAAGGATATATTAGACAGGTACAGGGTAAGGAGAGTCGTTTGTAGTACATAGTATCATATCTTGGAAAGAATTCTTTCTGATTTGGAAATTTTCTTGGCTATGTGATGGGTATGGGACTGAAATTTAAGATTGCAGTCAAGGAGAAGACCTAGAAATTTGTCCTCCGTGTGTTTGATATAGGGGAACCTTTTAACAGTATGTCGAGTTGGATATTTGAGGCTCTGTTGCCAAACAGCATGAATTACGTTTTTGTCTGTTGAGAGTGAGTGAGTTTGTTGGTCATCATCCAAGCATATATCTTTAGCAGTTCATTGTTTAGTGTTTCCAAGAACAGCTGGGTCTGAATGGGAGTAGACATGTGTAGTGTCATCTGCGAATAGAACTGGTTTAAGGAGTTGGGGATGCATTGG